CGTGATAGTATTCATAACTTGGATTCATTTTTATGAAAAGCTGTTGTGATTCTTTTGATCAGTGGACTTCTACAGACTAAAGGAATTTAACAGTCAAGGAACGGACACATTCGGCATCAACGAGCGCTTCAAATGTTTGTTTTCATCTCTTGCACCCTGCAGGTTACACCGGTAAATCTATAAGAATCAGACTTTGGGGCTCATTGTTTCCATTAAATGAACTGAAAGATTGAATTGCGGAGAATCTAACTGATCTAACGATGTGTAGCATGTTTAAACATTAATATTTATGCCCGATCTAAGTAGCAGAAAAAGCAGAGCAGCTAAAGCGGGCAACCCCGCAGGGTTTAAGAGGTTTTATACGTCCAAAAAACGTCTATAAAAACCAGACCAGGCGTTTAATGGAGACCTGCATTTCTTTGTCAAAAAGTGTTCGGGGTAGGCGGCTATTTAGGACTCGGCTATTAAGTGAAGTTTTACGGTATGTGCACTTAAGGTACCTGGTTACAGTTGGCTAAATGGATTTCTTATCATGTAAATGAGGAACATGGGTTGACTTGTAGGATTTGAGGATAGAAAAACATGATTTCTTCTTCCATGAGCATGACAAAGACGTCAGACAGGGAAATACTGCTGTGGCCGCACAGAGAGCTGATTCTTTGTAGAATCAGATACATTCAAAACGTAAGGGGACAACTGTGTACGTTACTAGAGCCTCTCCTCTGACTGCAGATTTTACAGTAACCTGGTTTCTTGTCTGCATACTCAACCACTACCAAATATGCTGTTGAGTCAGCTGCCAGACACCTTGAAAATACCTTGAATACTCCCTCCTGCTCATGACTCAACCGCCGTGATCACAGCATTGCAGATAAGACAACAAAAGGTATCTGAAGCAAGTGTTAAATCTCAAAGTAAAAATAAATCTGAAGTATTTAAAGATTTCTCAGCAGGAATGTGAAATACAAATTCATTTCTGTATTATGGGCTGTAACGTCTGAGACCAGCATGAAGCAAATGAGCTCAAGCACCTTTTGTTTAAAAAGTGAGTAGAGATGCAGGGTGCGTTTGGAGAGAGCAAACAGATGGCATGAAAGTAGTGCTGTGCAGTTAGTCATGTGCAAACAAGTAGGCAGATAAAGATAAGAAGAAGAGAAAGACTGATTAGTTCATGTAAGGCAAGCGCTGAAAAGCATGTAAGCATGCATGATTTCCTACAAGTGTAGTATTACTGCATGTCCACTCTGGAGGTAATTCCTTTAACCAAACTGTGCAGTCACATTATATATATATAATTTTATCAGAGTCGGATTTTTATTATATCAGGCAGATAAGGAAATATATTCAGGGAGGGAAACATCTTATTTTGATTTAAAGATTTTTACATTTTAAGCAAGTTACATTTATAGATGTTTTGTGTTCTGTCGATAGTAAATAAAAAGTTTTATTCTAAAAAAGGGATGCATAAAACAAGTGTCATAAATAATGGAGACCTAACATTGGATTTTATCTTTTTCAGCCTTACTGGCCAGAAAATAAGACATTGAGAAGGTGCGATAAAGTGAAAGCAGATTTCTGTACAGTGACTATTGTTGTGTACACATGAGAACTAGCAGTTGTAGCCAGTGTTGAAGTCTCCATACAGTAAGTACTCACAGAGGCACATTCCTACATCCATTTTTACATTCAAACTAGCTCTGAAAATATGCAACAACTACGAAAGCCATTAACTGCAAATAGCCATAACTTACATTTCTGCTATCCATTTTCTTTGCAGTACAGTATGAACATCATCTTACAGAGAAACCTCTTTTGAACGTCAAAGCTTAACAGACCAAGCAGCAGCGTGCTGTAGTCTGCAGAGGAAGAAGAGAGAGAGAGAGCTTCACAGTGGGGAATAAACAAATATAGACTCCCAATGAAAGTCATCTGACCCCCGCCTTCAATCTGATGAACCTCAACGCACAATGATCCCCAACTGACACTTTCAGAGCTCTTCACAGCTCAGACTGTGCTGCTCTGTTCTTTGAGTTTCTTAGACACACTGTTTACCCAAAAACACCGGGCACCTTCAGCATGGGTTCACACTTTGAGCACACTTATGATGATATCACAAGAAGGTAATAGCGTTCATCCACGGGAGACTTTGCTGAACCTAAAGAGGAAAGTTTTCTGCTGAAAATAAAACACAAATTCAGCTACAGCAGAGCATACCAAGCAAACAGGCAAATATCACTCCTCAGGTATCCTGTGAGTCAAATTACGATTTTAAAAAGGAGAGGCTGTTCCTGAAACACTGCTCTGCATTGAGGCTATAATTACACGACATAGAAGCCGGGTACTAATTAGCACCCCAAAAAAATATAACTGCACTCAGAAAAAAGCATCTCATCAATTGTTTATCTTCCTCATGTCGGCTGTGAGGAACCAAAACAAAACAGCTTCAATTAATGTAGCCCCTCATCTGGTACCTCATCTGTGTTCCTGCGGGCAGAGAGACCATTCATCCGCATTAAGAAAAGTGACTGAGTCTTGCAATTATACTTAAAGTGTAAATAAACAATTTAAATTTAACACTGTCCAAAGAGTAGGTGCGTTTGCTGGTAAATCACTCTGCATTGATCGATAAATGAGTATAAGTGACTCTTACAGTATCAGCTTTCCACCGCTGCTTTATGCTGTATGAAAAGCTTCTCCTAAAGTTCATCTGATGGCAGCAGGACACATATGCCTCTGATTTGAGAGGTGCCAGGCAACAGCGTTGTGCAGGATTCCTCAATCACATGAAAACAACACCAGGCTGCTACAAAATAACCACACACCTCTACACACATATAAGAGATGGCTGTAACTCAGTATTCTGCCTGTTTACGAGGGAGACGCCGGACTACCGGGGCTCATTAATCCCGTGCGTCACAGATGTGATCATATAAATTGCTTCACTAAACTCTTTTTCATTATCGTGATTGCACTAATTCCTTGTTAAGAAAACAAAGCAGCAGATTTGTGGTCGTGTGTGTTCACCCCATACCGCTCAGCAGCATCCAGAAAACAACACGGTTTCATGGAGAGGTTGATTCATCATTGTTCAGCTGTTGTCATCATCATGACTGTGATTGGCACGGCCGTTTCAGAGCGAGGACGACAGTGATGTGACTGGCTGAGAGCATATTTATTAATCACCACACTGTCCGATCAATATTTCACCTTACCCATCCCTTTCGCACTTTGCACTGCTGCAGTGCATGAGCTAATGTTGTACTGCTTGTTTGTGTCTCTTAAGAGTCTTGTTAAATGTCCTTTGTTGCTGTGGGTGGGTGTGGGTGTGGTGTTCGTATTTGTAACTGTGCTCTGTCAATATGCTGCTATTTTGGCGAGGTCTCGCTTGAAAAAGAGGTTTTATAGCTCAATGAGATCATCTGGTTAAATAAAAAAATAAAATAAAAGACACATGAACCAAAATAGCAGGCAATGGGCCCCATGTGTCCCTCTGAAGCTAAAAGAAAAAATTTTTTTCACATACTTCAGCAGAGATTCCCCCAAAAATCTTCATATGCTTTAATTTTTTCTTTTCTCTCCGGAAATTCTGCTTCACACAGTGGCAGTGAACCAGGTGTAATGATGAACATCTTGTGCTCGCCTCCGCGCAGACCCTGCTGATAATACTGCACTTGTCCCCAGATTTATTATGTAAGGGTTCAAAACTGTACATTAACTCCAGAGTTCAAACTGATTAAGCCACCTGTGAGAAAATCAATCCACACCAGAGAGTGGATTTTTCTCTCACTAAACTCGCTAACACTAGCAAGGTCACACAACGCCCTCATCATCACTATCTGTTGTGAGGTCACTGCAGTGTACAGCTACAAACACAATAATATTTATAATAGGATTTTCATGTAGCCCGTGAGTTACTGCATTCACTATGAAAGAAAACGGGACGTAAAACTCAAAAAAAAGATTCCAAAAGGAAAAAATAGATTATTATTATTATGTATTTCTAAAAAAACATCAGGTTCTGGCAGCCGTTGAGGGTGCGGTGCAGAAAAAAAAACTTAATAAGGTAGTAAGAAAGGTAAAAGGAGAGTCAACTATTACCAGATCTTTACTACTAGGTGATAAAGGATAAGGTTAAAGTTGGTGCAAAGGGTTACAGTTGTACTCTATCCATTTGAGGACATATCTCGTCCTGGTTCGATTCCCCTACTGTTGGGAATGTATATGCTGACATACCATGTCTGCAGGAGTGGGGAGTAACTCGTTACAAGTAACGCAAATGAGAAAAAAGTAGTTATTCTTTAGGAATGGTAAGTTTTCATGGATTTTCTTTTTTCTTTTAAAGACCATTTTATACATATTTCACATCACAAGTTACCAGCAGCCAATGTCCTGTAATAGATTTTTTTATTATCCTGATACACCAGTAGAAGCAAAGTTCAGGTACATGTACACACACACTAACTTGGTACGCTGATGTTTGTTTTGAATGTTGATTAATGTACACTGTTCCTGTCACACACACACTCACAAGCTCAGCAGTGCTGCTCTCAGATTGTATAAATGGCCGACTGGGCGACACTGAGATACTTTGCTGAAACACTGACTCACTACTGTTTGTATGTGTTTGTGTATATGTGTGTGTGTGTGTAGGTGTGTGTGCGCGTAGGTGTGTGGCTTTTTATGTGTGTCTTTTTCCTCCCTCTGATTATGATGTACAAAAACAAGAGCATTTGAGATCATTTGGGTCTAGAAGCTAGCTTATGCTTTTGTTTCTGAACAGCTCATTATTTGTGCAACAGTCGCTAACACTTGCAAACAAATGACTCAGTGGTTTGTGTGAGAGAGAGAGTGTGTGTGTGGGCATGACAGAAGGAGAGAGACAAAGGAAGAAAATGCCACAGTCCACTGAAAGTCTCAGTTATTACTAGCAAGCCGCTAATGTGTGTGTGTACAATGGCGCGGGTGTGTTGTGACCAGTAACGAGTTTGTGTGCTCTGTACCTTTGTCGCTGAAGTCGTCGACCAGGATGACCTCTGCTATGAGCTGTGGAGGAGAGCGGTTGAGCACGCTGTGAACAGTCCTCAGCAGCGACGACCAGCCCTCGTTATGGAAGGGGATGATGATGCTGGTGTTGGGCAGCTTCTCTGCATACAGCTTCTGTTTACAGCTACACAAACACATGAAACCAAAAATAAAATATGAGAAAGAGAGAGAGAGAGAGAGACAGAAGTGGACCAGAGTGTGTCATCCCTGCTAAATAATAACTATATTTTTTGCTACCGTAGCTGAGTGGCTCCAGGGAGGATTGGTCCAACATTCTGGTCCAGAGTGAAATATTAATAATAATTTGTTTTTTGTTGAAATTTGGTACACACCTTGCCACTTCCCCACAGCACCACCAGCAGATCATAATTTCTATTTATTTAACACTACATGCCAAAGTAGCTCTAACATGACTCAATTACCATCAAGCCTCATCTGTACTTCATAAACATCGCCACCATAACGTGATACGTATGTGCACAGTAGTGTTTGTAGTCAAGACCGCCCAAACCGAGACCAAGTCAAGACCAGAGTTTATCGAGACTGAGACAAGAATCAGACTTTTAGGAGCTGAGATCAAAACAAGACCAAGACAGAGGGAGGGCGAGACCAAGACCAGTGTGTCACATTACAGGACACACAGTAAAATGTGGAACGAGATCATAGGTACTTCTCAAAATGATCTGAAAGATCCACATTCCCATTAAAACGCCCACATACGCTGAAATCTTTATTCAACACTCGTTTTCCATGCTTACCATTGCGAGGAGGGGTGACAACACATTTTTAATCAGGGTTATTGGTTGCATTTGAAGCAATAAATTTTAACAAATAAATCAGACGATGCAAAAGCAAGTTATTGATATTCCCAAAGTTATGGTCTGAACTGGTCTTGAAATAAAATCCTGAGTCCTCGATGTCGGAGACCAAGACCAGTCCCAAGTACTACAACACTAGTGCAGATGGTCAACATTACATGCTTCTAATTTGCATAAAAAAAGGAAAGACAGAGAAAGACATGCCACAGTCCACTGAAAGTTTCAGTTATTAATACACACTTAAGGGATGTACTCACTTTTGTTTCCAGCGGTTTAGACATTAATGGCTGTATGATGTGTTATTTTGAGGGGACACCAAATTTACACTCTTATACCAGCTGTACACTCACTACTTTACACTGTAGCAAAGTGTCATTTCTTCTGTGTTGAAACATGAAAAGATATAATCAAACTAACTTTTGTGAGACACTGTATGTTAGCAGGTTCACTTAACCAATCGACAGCCAAACAGAAACATTAATGAGGTGTGAATGTGCGTACCTCACAATATCATTGTGTTAAAATCCAACAGCATGCGTGTTTATAGCAGGCTATATCAGCATATTGGCAAGGCAAAAGTTTGAATTCCTTTATATTCACCAGTGTATGGAGCTGGGAGGTGGTCCAGTCATAATGAAGTTCACTATACTTTATTTTCTTTAGATATACTGATATGTGGATCCTTTATTAGTCTGGTTATGGCAGTATAGTCTTTGCTATAATAACTGCCATTAAGACTCATGGGTTATGCAGTATTTAATTCCCTTCATAGCACCCAACAGATTTCTATAACTGTTGGTTATAACAAACCCCTTTAGTTTTATGAAATTGCTTGGTGTGTTTCGCTAACAGTGGAGAAGAACACCTTCAGCAACCGGTGATGCTGCCCTACTCAGTGTACTGTAAACTCTCAACCAGCCCAACCTGAAAAATGTGTTGCTCTTTTAATCAGACGTAATGAAGCATACCACCTGCTTGACTGCCCTTCCATCCTTTTCTCTCGCTCTCGCTCTCTGAGAAGTCAGGGAGGAATCTGTAGAGACAGTAATTATCTCTGAGTCTCTCAGTCCTGTCTGGCTGCCTGAAACTCCCTCTCTGTCTGTCTCTCCATCATGTCATTCAGTCAGTGAGTGAGAGTGAAATGAATTAATGAATGCTTCTGGGCCCACTGAGGACCGATGTGGCACCTGGTTGACAGAAACCTGTCACTCAGCTGTCACTTTGACCAATCAGATAACCCCCCCCCCCGCCAACACACACAAACACCTCACCATCAAGTGCACCACCCATACCACTGTCTGTCAAGTGTGAAGCATGTGGATCCTGGTATGGCGGCTTTCTGATGGTTGGTGGCTCTTTGTGGGCCCTGAAAAGTAATTTCAGTGGTTTTGGTAAGAGGATTTCAGTGTAGTCCTTCTCCTGTCAAGTCAGACTGTATTTTGTTGCAGGATTGGGCTTCTGCACGAGTGCTTAAAACTAGGCTGCAAATGTTGCTTCCATTGAACCAGACAGTCTGCTTTTCAATGGCTATTATTAAAGAGAATATCAGTGGTTGCATTAGACACATCTGGCAGTTACACCACAAAATCACAAAGTAAAGATTGTAATTGTATCTATTAACTGCTTATATTTGCGGCAATGTCAGCTGCACCTCTTTATGGATTAAAATATGGGTAGTTTTCCTAATTACAATATTTAATTATTGTAATAGTCTTCACTGACTTGGCATTTTCTGTTGGAACAGTGACACACACGTTGTTGTTGCAATTAGAAACAAAACACAACTAAATAGTGGAATAAGTGATCTAAAATCAAACGTAAATTGATAGATTTTTCCTCCAGTTCTACACACAGTAGCTTTACCTCTTAAATTACCCTCTCATTAGCAGCTCAGGCCAATTGTAAGCTTTATGCCTAGATATGCCTCACTTCTGTGCTCTTCTGGATTCTCTGCTAACATGTGCTGTGCTGAGAGAAAAGTGATAATAAATCCACAAATAAGTCAAGACTCTTTCAGAGAAAATACTGCTGTCATGGATGCATGGAAATTTAAAGTCTTACATTTTATTCCACATTAGCTCCACAGCTTTCAGAGTGCACTCTACATGACTACATGACTACACGTGTTGCTAATACTACGTGGTGGCTAATGCTTCACACGGTGGTCACATGACGTAGGAGATATATCGATATGAAGGGGAAAATGGGAGAGAACATGTAGTGCTGTCTGGAAGAGACCTTAAGAGAGAAACATTTAAAACTGCTTTCCACATGAAAGTGACAGTGGGGTCAAAAGGACTCCTAAACGGGGGAGGGAAAGGGCCAATCTGTGACGAATCAGGTCAGGAGGTTTGAAGCTGTTTAGCAGACAATATTTATAGTCTTGCTCTTGTGTTTATTTTCAGTATTTTGTTCTTTAATGAGTCAGAGGAGAGCTGGTCAGCAGTCTGTACTGTAGCCACAGGTCCATATGGCTCATCATGTCTCTACAGCGTCTGTTTTTTTAACACTTTATTCTGCTAAAAAAGAAGGTGCAATGTTGAGCTTAATGTGTACCTCCTCCGTGCGTCAAGTCCATGATTAAAAGGGCAGTAGTGACTGCTTGTTTGGTAGACTGATCTATACAGTAGACACTTTATACAATCTCAGGCTCAGCTTGTCAGGCTCAACCTGACAACCAATGTAAAGACATGGTACAATTTAGCAGATGTCTAAGCTGCATTTTGTCCGCATCTTAACTCACTAATGTTTAGCACACTTAAGTATTGACTTGCTAAAATTTAGCATGGTTCCATGCTGCCATTATTCCATCCATCAATGGATTTTTCCACCACTAATCTGGGTTGCACTGGCAGCAGGTTAAGCTGGTTAGCCCAGTCATATCTTCCTGCTCTTTACTGAGAGACTAAAGTGTTTCCATGCCAGATGGTATTTATAATCCCTACAGTGTGTTCTGGGTCTGCCCTGGGGTCTCTTCTGGTTGGATGTTTCCCCCACAGGGAGACATCCGGAGGGCATTCTGATCAAATGCTTGAACCACCTTAACTGACTCCTCTCAACAAAAGCGAGCAGTACCTGAGGCCGAGCCAAACTACACTGCGAAGAAACAAACGCCCCCCCTTTTCTAATTCTCTCCATTTATACCCAAAGCTCATGACCATAGTTGAGGGTTAAAACTTAAATCCACTTATAGATACAGGGTGTCATTAGCAGGACTTTTGACAATGTCTTGTTTAAGATACTTCACTTTTGTCCCACTGTGAGCAAGGCACTAAAACTAGACTTTCTGTTTCCATTATTCTCAGAACTGTCCCTGTTCCCTTTGGAAAAAAACCCCAGCCCCACTGCAGTCAGAATAAAAGCTGCTCCAGTGATGCACGGCACACATCTATCATCAGTTCTTCACACCTTGCGCACAGAGGGAAACATCAATGACACTGATAATTGCTGTCAAGAACACAGTTTATAAGTACATAGGTGTTGGGTGGTGTGTAATCAGCTTCTGTCAGGGTAAAGCTACATCTCTCCTGTGAACAGACTGGGCAGGTTGGTAATTGGAACAATTGTTCCAAACAGTGGTTGTTGTAATGAGCTGGGACAGATCCAGCATGGAGAATAAAGGTGTAAACAATGCTATAAGTAGGGTTTGGTGTTAGGACAGATTTGTCCTACTGGCCCCCGTCGGTTCAAACTGGCAGAGGAGGCAAATTGAACTACTGATGGCACACATGGTTTATGTTTTACAGGTTAATTCATTATTTGTTTCACATTTGTCACAGTTGATGGTTTTAGTGCCTGGAGTGCAGAAATATAAAAGTCAGAATTGTTTTTAAGTCTTTTAAGAAAAGATCAAGTCAAGTTCTGCCAGACCCAGCGTTCCAGGTACTAAAACACTGACCACAGCACGTCAAACTTTTGTTTTTAAATCTATGGTAATAGTATTTTTTGAAGGCTGAGACAAAGGTGTTTCAATGCACAGGCTTACCAAGTTTACTTTCCTGCCCGTCTTTGTTATTTATTTTTTATTGTTCTGCGATGTCGGCAGGTCGAAATTTAAACCTTAAATGTTTTTTTGCTCACAGCAGTCAGGTCCACATCATGTCCGAGTTTAGAGTAAAGGCACTAGGCTAGATTTGGCAATTTGAAATCGAGCACAAACAGTTCTTTAGCCTTAGATTCAGCCAGGTCAAGCTGTAACATAAAACACATGCATTCAAGCAGTCAATCCCACATTTCTCTCATGAATGTCCCTCTTTTAAAACTCTTTACAGCTATTTAAATTTCTGTCTCTTTCCCTTGAAATGAT